AAAGAAAAAGGGACCAGGTTTGCTAATTTAATAGAGCTTGAAGCAACCCCTGAGACTATGGCCCCTAGCTGCCCTTCAGGTCTGGAATTGAACCCACTCCTGTGGCTTCCAGCCAAACAAAAGACAGGCATACAGGCTAAACATTTACATTAGGTAGTGTGGTGTAGTAAATTACATAGTGTGGCTTTTCTAGCCATCTTTGTAAACTCCGTGGTGGAATGTGCTGTGAGCAACTGAGTAGCGCCTGATTGTTAAGAGTTATCCACCTGGGGTATTTCTGTTGAGAGTGGCCGGAAGCAATCTTCTGGGAAGTTCTTTCTCTCAGGTGTAGAATTCTGCTGCTGGGATTGGTTAGTTTGGCCACTCTGCCAGGCTCAAAAAGGAGCCCTCCTAAAGGAAGGAGGAGTCTCTGACTGTTGGCTGAAAAAGACATGGTGCTGAGAGAAATGTGCTCCTGAGAGACATGAGAGACACACACTGCTGAGAGACACGAGAGATATGAACTGCTGAGAGAGCGATGTGCTACTGAGACTGCTGAATGCTGAGTGAGACAACCGGCTGCAAGAGACTGAGTGCATTTCTGAACTTGAATTGTAGCCTGCTTCTTCCCTAATGTGATAGTTGGAACTGTGTGTCAACTTGGCTGGACCACAATTCTGTGTGGTTTAAGCAATTGTGATGTGGGTTGTTCCAATGATGCAATCAGATGTGTGTGTATGTTTTGAGCAGCCAATCCATTGAAAGAGTGTTTCCCTAGGGGTGTGGCCTGCTTCCAGTACATTTATGGACATCCTGGGAAAAGAGACACTCTTCTGTGGATCAGGATTCTGTTGTGCTGCCTACAACTGTTCATGAGCGAACAATCCACCATTCATCCTGGAGACCTTGGATTTGTCATTCGTTGGAGTATACTGCCAGTATACTGCCTGCCAACCTTGAGCTCCTCAGTCCCTGCAGCTACATGAGTCGGGAAAAGCCTCCAGCTTGATGTCTGATCCAAGAACTTTGGACTTGCCAGCTTCTATAAGTGTGTGAGCCATTTTCCTAAGATAAGTTTCCCTTTCTCTCTCTATATAAGCTTTACTGGTTTTGTTTCTCTAGAGAACCCAGTCTAACACATCTAATAAACCCCATAATCTATGAGTTCTGTGTGGCCACTACTGCAAATTATTAAACCCACCAGAGAAATGGGTGCTGTGGTAGGAATGGCTGGTGTTAGGGTTCATGAAAGGGCTGGA